TTGTGAATGCCGTGGTGACCAGGTAAATATTTTAGTGTGGCTGGCAGTCACAGTTATGAGAAGTTGACCCTAATCAGAATAAATTTGCCAAGCCAATGAAGTCAGTAGTTGATTCATATGCACACTAGGACCTTAGCAGCAGCCTTTTCAACCTTTGCAGGCACATTGTAACATTGGAACAGCGTTAGGCTATTCATCCCATTAAATCTTCTCTTCCATTCAATGGCAAATCTGTCACTTCAATGACTTTTTCCACACTATCCCCATCACCCTTTACGCCATTGGTAATTAAAAGTTTATCAACCTCTACTTTAAACATACTCAAAGACTGTGCTTCCACGGCTCTCTGGCGTGGAGAATTCCAAAGCTTCATAACTATTTGAGTAAAAAACAGTATCTCCTCATCTTTGTCCTAAATAGCATGCCCCTTATGTTTAAATTGTGCCCCCTGGTTAGAGAGTCCTTAGTCAGGGAAAACATCTTACCTGCATCAACCCAGTCTATCCTAAAGTATTTTCTAGGTTTCAATGAGATTATCTCTCATTCTTTGAAACTCTAGTGAATAAAGGCCCAGGTTGCTCAATCACTCTTCATAGAACAATCCTATTATCTTGGGAACAAGTCTGGTGAACCTTTGTTACACTCCCTCTATGACACTAATACCTTTCCTGAGATAAGTAGACCGAAACTGCACACAATATTTCAGGCACAGTCTAACCAAGCTCCTATACAATTGAAGTAAGACTTCACTACTCCTGTACTCAAATTCTCTTGCAATAAAGGCTAACATTCAATTAGCCTTCCTAATAGTTTGACAAGGATATTCAAGGTCTTTTGCCCATGTATTCCATCCAGCCTTTCACCATTTAACAAACCCCCGGCATATTTGATCTTCCTACCATTGTAGATAACCTCACATTATATTCCATCTTCCATGCTTTTGTCCAATCACTAAGCTTGCCCAAATCCTTCTTAAAACCTTCTACATCTTTATCATCACAGACATTTCCACTTAGCTCAGTGTCATCTGCAAATTTGGAAGTATTACATTTAGTCCCCACCTGCAAAGCATTGATATATGTTGAGAAAAGTGGGGGCCAAGTTGTGGAACCCTACTGGTCACAGCCTGCCATCTGAACAACCAATTTATTCCTATGCTCCGCTAGCCAATCCTTAAGCAATGCCAATTCATTACCTCTAATCCCATGTACTTTAACATTTTTAACCAACCCCTGTGGGGCTTGTTATCAAAATCCTTCTGAAAATTCAAATGTACTACATTAATCAATTCCCTTTATCAATTTTGTCAACACCATACTCAAAAAACTCCGACAAGTTTATCAAACATAATTTTCCAATTGCAAATCCATGCTAAAATGCCCTTGAGATTTTTTTTATCCAAGTGTCATTTTGCCCTATCATTTTGCCCTAATACTGATATAAGACTGACAGGTCTGTACTTCCCTGCTTTCTCTGCTTCTTTATTAAATAATGTGATGATATTTGCAAGTTTCCAATTTGCAGGAATCATTCCAGAATCAGTGGAAGATGGAAGGCGATTGCAATACTATAACCATCTCCTTCAACACTCTGTGAACTTATCAGCCTTCATTCCCCTTAATTTCTCCTGTACTTCTAATTTATACAAAGTTCCTTCAACTCCTCATCTCCTTAGTCATTTGGATCTCTACTCTGGGAGATTTGTCAGTGAAAATAAACACAAAAATATCATTTAGCTTCTTTGTCATTTTGCTATTCCCAGTTATAAATTCTCCAAATCTTTTAATGGGTCCACATTTGTCCCAGCCAAACTTCCCTTCTAACTGTAGAAGCTCTGGCAGTACATTTTAAGCGTAACCACACATATTCAAACAATGAGGTTGAACACAGTCCTGTCGAAGCATCCTTGCTGGTACGTCACTGGGATCTAACAAATGTTGTTCACTGTGCTCTCCACTGCCATTTGCTGCAAGATGTATTGAAACTTAATTCTATTTTGTTGCTAAAATCTGTTTATAGACTGTGAGGGAACTTGAAAACAGAGTCAGACACCAAGGTGGCTGAATCACAAATTTAATATTGCAATCACACATTGGGCATGTTTATTACATAGGAATACATGAGAAGCTGAGACTTTTAAGTGTATTAGTGGAACTTGGTGAATTTTTGAAGGAGGTTATCAAAGAGCACTGTGTAAATGAGAAATAGAAGTGGACCAAAGTTAGGTCCTTGGGAAATGCTGGGGAGAATGGTGTAGAAATGGGAGGAGAAGCCTTGGATGGTGATTCTGTACTTCCAACTAAACGGAGAAGAATGGGATCAGATGATTCCAGTCCCACCAAACTGGATGATAGTGGAGAGTTGATGGAGCAAGATGGTTGATCATGTAATCTGTGATTTTGATAATAAAACATTTGGTAATGGTAGCATCTCATACTATGAACAACTGTGAGGTGATTTTTTTTTCTTTATTTATGTAAGATTTGTACCTAGGTACTTTGTACCTAAGATGGTACTGTCTGGGGCAACATTGTAAAATTTTCATTGTGCCACTGTACTTCTGTACTTGAGTACACATGTCAATAAACTTAATTCTAATTCCAATTCACAGAATGTCACCAGAACATGTTATAAATCCATCAAGAAATTAAAAACCGTGTCAGTATTTCAAATACATACTCAAACAATTCCTGACAACAAGGTGCAGGGCTGGATGAACACAGCAGGCCAAGCAGCATCATAGGAGCAGAGAGGCTGACGTTTCGGGCCTCGACCCTTCATCAGAAAAGGGGGAGGGGAAGGGGGTTTTGAAATAAATAGGGAGAGAGTGGGAGGCGGATAGAAGAGGGATAGAGGAGAGGATAGGTGGAGAGGAAACAAACAGGTCGAAGAGGCGGGGATGGGGCCAGGAAAGGTGAGTGTAGGTAGGGAGTTAGGAAGGGGATAGGTCAGTCCAGGGAGGACGGACAGGTCAAGGGGGCGGGATGAGGTTGGTCGGTAGGAGATGGAGGTGCGGCTTGAGGTGGGAGGAGGGGATAGGTGGGAGGAAGAACAGGTTAGGGAGGCAGGGACGGGCTGGACTGGTTTTGGGATGTGGTGGGGGGAGGGGAGATTTTGAAACTTGTGAAATCCCCCATTCCCAATTCCTTCGCCTCCGCCACATCTGCTCCCAGGATGAGGCATTCCACTCCCGTACATCCCAGTTGTCCTCGTTTTTCAAGGACCGTAACTTCCCCTCCTCGGTGGTTGAGAACGCCCTCAACCGTGTCTCCCACATCTCCCGCACCTCATCCCTCACACCCCGTCCACGCAATAAAAACCAAAAAAGAATCCCCCTCGTCCTCACGTACCACCCCACCAACCTCCGGATCCAACGCATCATCCTCCGACACTTCCGCCATCTGCAATCCGACCCCACCACCAAAGACATCTTTCCCTCCCCACCCTTATCTGCTTTCCGGAGGGACAACTCTCTCCGTGACTCCCTTGTCCGCTCCACACTCCCCTCCAGCTCCACCACACCCAGCA